TTTTTCATATTTTCAAAAGCATCACGCGAAACTCACAAGATACTCGATAGCAGGGATGTACAGGAACCATGACATAAATAATATACATTGGTGAATCTTTTAGGGTAAAAACAAAACCAACATGAGTAATTCCCCGGTCTTCAATAATACCTTCCACGCCCTGCTTGTTTAGGGGTATAGCACCTGTTACCTACACATAGTGGAAGTCTCCGTTACCTCCTCCCAGGTACCCATACACCAACGCGGAGCATGGGTAAGGATAATGTGTATCGTAATTACATAGACGTTAGGTAATATATGCCACTTACCTTCTGGTAAAATAGACTCCGGGCGGGATATTCTCATCTCAGATCAGGCGAGAGATGACCCACTGATTACTAAATATCTAGTCTAACCTGGTCACCGAGTTGTCATTTAATGTGTAAGGTAGATGAAAATAGATGTCGAACGTGATTTATTCTCCTATTGTTAGATAGCGTAACTATGGGCCGTGTCAAACGTCAATCCTGAATATTATTCACCTCTAAACTTGTGATAAAAACTTTTTTGGGATATTTTGGGACATGTTACTACATTTTCATATAAAGTATGTCATTTACGCGGGGTACTGGGTAATACTTTCGCTGTAGTTTATGAATGTTGAAGGCCGTAGTTAACTTTTTTTTACAGGGAGGGCAAATATTTGTACAAGTATCACTTTAATCCAACTAGTTCACAGCCTATTTTGGACTTGTTGTTCATGTATAATAAACTATATATTTTGGGAAAGACCGACATGTTTTCACTTCCCTTGGGACTGGCGGACAAGTATCTGTATAATCCTGAAATATCACTCAACGTCGCCATGATAACTGTCATATACTCTTCAATATTTCCTCTGCTTGACCTATGAAGCTGAAATTTGACGGGCATTTTCCCTATGAAGACATCTGATTATATTCAATTTATAGTACTTCTATATAAAAAAAATTAAATATTTAAAAAATCGTAGACTCAAAGACCACAAAGCGCATAAGGCTGAAACGCGTGCACGCGCTGGTAACCCTGGAATAGTGCATTATATGACCATGAACCTCTACACACGCTGTAACCTACTAACCGTTGATATGTCAAGGGTATGTAATGTACAATAGGACTGCAGAGCTGTTCGAGTGGTTGTGGTTTACCGTATAGGTTTACCGGAATCATATTACCGCACTGTGTGGTGTTTCTTTAGCGCCACTGCCCTGTTCAAGAAAAAATGCTTTTGTTACCTCGTTTACTTGTTTATTTATGTATTATTATTCATACATGACATCGAAACAACTTTCAAAGCAAGTCTAATTTGCCCGAGGCTTTCATAAAATGTAAGAAATAACCTTCAGCCGAGTACATCCTCGAATATCCAATGTATATTATATCTGCTTCAATTACAATGTATGTCATGAATGTATACAGAATATAAGTAAAACATAATATGTATATTTTTCAGTTTAAATTAAATATATATTTTATACATATTATATTATATATATTTCAGCTTAAATTAAATACTGTTATGTAAATAGTATTTTTCATTATGTATGTATATAATTTATATACATATAACATAATTATACAGCTCATCTTTGGACTTGTATTTTATATACATGTGTGTGTGTGTGTGTGTGTGTGTGTGTGTGTGTGTGTGTCTGTGTGTCTTTATACCGCTCTGTGTCTGTTCGTTTGTGTGTATGTGTGTGTATGTGTATGTCTATTGTATATGTCGTGTTCGCAGCCGTGTATATCGTATTAAATAGAACGGAGATACGATACAGTGTAAAATTGCAGATTGAAAGGCAGTGACTCTTATGGCAACATCGTCCGGGTAACTTAATTAGGGAACCTTGGACTCCAAACCATATACCGAACTTTCATCCACCCGGGACATTAAAGACGCCGGTATTAACTGTGTAGAGTTGCGTCTCCTGGAAATGGCCTCGTGGTCGTGGGTTCGAATCCCAGCTCGTCCCTACTTTTACACTTTGACAAAATATTCTGTAGTTGAAAATATTTGAAAAATTCAAATGCTGCTTCAAGATAATGTACAGTTGACAAGCAACTCTCCATTCCTGAAAAATAATGGAGCGTTCAAACAATAGAATGACGTCACAGATGTGTTTTAATTACAGGCCGTTCGGTTGTAGCTATAGAAGCTTGCTGGCTGCGGCTTAAAACAACATCCACTAATACTCGGATGTGGTTAGATGTGGAATTTTACCTTTGTTTGTTGAGACAGGTAGATATTCAAAGCCTTCTATGCCATTATCGGAGAGGTTGTGTGAATATTGCGATTGTGACTTGGTGGAAGATGAATATCATTTTTTACTACAATGCAGATTTACAGTGTGATTTATATTGTGCAGCTGAAGAAGACAATTTTAATGTGGTATGCGAAGAAGAAAAATATATTTACCTAATGAATTCAAACGTTTTACAAAAAAGTGCTTGCCGAGGCGCTTTTTAAAATGTTTTAAGAGACAACTGTTGTTGTCATGATTATTGAATTATTCCTCTCTCCAGCTGTCCTTTCTTTTTCTCTCGTCGTTGAATCGAGGAGTTTGTTATTGTTTCCTGTGAGTCTTCTGAATTCGTAGCTAACTTTCCCTCCTCTCACATTATATGTATGTATATATTTTGTTTATATTGTATATAGTGTCTCATAAGCCCATGTCTGACTGGACGCACTCCATACACCTTTTGTCTTATGTGCATCAATTTTATATTGTACGTGTTGTGCGTGTACTACTACTACTACTACTACTACTACTACTACTACTACTACTGTTTTTAATCACGACCCAGTGATCAATACATTTATACATGCACGCGTGATATGCAAAATTAATCTCCTTAATGTAGCAGAATTCATTGGCCGAAAGCTAAAACACTACATTCATACGGAGCTAAATAGATTTGGTCAAAGCAGAATGATAATCATTAAACTTCGACCGCGATGTGCGACGAAAAGCAAACAAAACATCACATCCTTAACACCATTCGAGTAAAACCTCCGTAACTCGAAGTCATTTGGACATCCCTTACGTGTCGAGTTATCCATAGTTTCAGTGGTAAACTGACATAAGTCGATCCTATAAAGCAACATTGTCTCAAACGATGGATCGAGGTACCTGTACATGGGTTGACGAGATATCACTTTATGCATGTTCATAACTGATTAAAATGAAATACACATTTAATCGAGGTATCAATGTATAAATACAGAAAAGGTCTGGACCAGAATTTTAGTTCGAGTAAACAGGTTCGTCATAACGACATGCGATTTCAAAGAGACACAATTTATGGCAACAACTTCTTTAATACTGTTTTAATAATGTAAAGGCGACGTTTCGGTATGGATCATTATACCGTTGTCAAACAAGACTGATTGATCACGAATATGTTTGTACATTATGTAAACTACAACACAACAATTTCTACCCAGCATTAACTCAGTGATGCGGCTGTAAAATCAATATAGTCATCTACATTAGCATTATCTCACTGAAGCGTCTGTAAAATGACAACTCACGTTCAGTTGTCACTTTGGATTGTCATTCATAATATTGTACTTTGGGAAAGGTCGTGTACATGGGCACGTAATATAATATTAGATACATAATTTTATAACTATTTAGTGAATTACTTCAAACATTCCTGCAAATTTCGTTCTAAAATTGCTAACTGCGGTTTTAAAACGATGATGCAAGTAGGCTGTGAGAGACCAGAACAACATCCTCGATTATCCAGTGTATCATTTTCCAGTCATTTGCATAATATATGGGCTATATAATAAGCTGGATAACCGAGGATGCAGTAACGGTAGAAACTTGAAATATCTGTTTCTTTAAGAGGCCTTTATCAATCACTGACTGGTCCCAAGAGGCGAGTCGTAAGATACGACAACCAAGATTGGGTGGTCAGGCTTGCAGACTTGGTTGATGCATGTCATCTTATCCCAAATTGCATAGGTAGATGCTCATGATGTCAATCACAGAATTGTCTGGCCCAGACGCGATGATTTTCAAACCCCTGCCATATAGCTGGAATATTTCTGCGGGTGAGATTATACAACAACCAAACATTTAAGTAAACTGGACTCAGGGAACAAACGTGAGTATTTTATGCGATCTATATTTGTGATCAATACACTTCGTTATTTATTCATAGATGTTTTTGTTTTATTCTGTAGAAATCCAAACCCCTGTGGTCCAACCAAAATGACCTCAACAATGTGTCATAAACACCACGCGACGTGGTTGGCAAAACGTTTGGGAAACAACATCAGTGAGGTCAAAGGAAACATCTATTATTCTCAGTATGCCAAAGTGTCATAAGCAGAGGCAACTCTGTTGGCATTCTTCCAGTTTGTTTTTAGTTTGTTTATTTTTAGAGAACTCGAAGAATTGGTGAGTAAATATTGCGTTTCGGCACGGCAATATTAAATTATGAAATAACAGTTTCATCATTCACGTTGAAAACGATGAAGATTGGACATACTTTTCACACACAGAGTCGTGTGATCGGATATTATTCGGTTTTGAAGTGTTGATATCACCCCGCGTCATTATGACGTCATATGCATTTGTGACGTCATTTTCATGCGCTCGTTGCAAAAAGGGAATTCCCCTAGCAGGTGCGTGGGTTGATTGGTTAGTTTGTTGTTTAAAGCCGCACTCAGCAACATTCCAGCTATATGACGGCAGTCTGTAAATAATCGAGTCTGGACCAGACAATCCAGTGATTAATGTCATGAGCATCGATCCACGCAATTGGGATCGATGACATGCATCAACCAAGTCAGCGAGCCCGGACAAAGCTAGATACATGGTGGTATTCCAGTCCAGAATAGATTTAGTCCTGTTTTGTGTTCCCTGTGTTGAGTATTGGAGCTTTTGATGGTCAAAGAGTCACACTTATTTATGACGGTGACTATTTTCTGTGTTTTACGGTATGACTCACCGTAGCAGTTACCCCCCTTGTCTGTCATGGCGCACTGAGCATCAAAATACTTCCTGCAGTAAACATCGGTGTGCCGACGACTATAGATAGTGTGATCGGCCTCGTGAAAACAATCAGCGATCGTTGAAACCTCGACATTTAACATTACGCCGTTTCATTAAGGTAGGTGTGAATTGGAGGAAAATTAACAAAACATTCCGTTGTGTTCACACACATTCGATGCTCAGCTGGTACGATTTGTTTATTCAATTGTTTCACGATAGACCGACTTTGGTTAGCATGTGCGCGTTTATAAGACAATATTAGCCAGGTATAGTGGTATTGTGTGGTTACCGCGCTATTGTGGAGCAGGTGATACTCTCTGTTTTACACAAGCGTTCTACTTTTTTGTTGCAGTAATTCAGTAAAACAATTGAAAATAATCAAGATGCTTATTTCGAGCTTGCATGAATTTGTTATTTCTCAATAAAGTCTATTGGAGCTGATTTGTCTGAAATTACAGTAAAAACGTGTTATTTTTGTGGAGACGGTTCACATGCATTTAATTAATCTGGATATGAACTGTGTCTGTGTTAAATTTGTTCTTAACTTATAACTTAATTAAAATGTAATTGAATTTGAATATGCACCAGCATTTACGTCTCAAAGATAATTGAACTGAAGGGATGTTTTTGTTTATGAGGAAGTGGTGATTGTCTTTTTAATGATAATTATAGCTCATGGTATCCCGGATAATTTGATCTGCATAATTGTGATGATGTATTATTATATTACTAAGTTGAACTTTGAGAAAAGAATTGGTCCAGAAATATTGTATATTCTGTTTGAAGTTTTGGATTTGCTAGATCAATGACATGATTGAGTAAACATAGCATAGGTTGAAACAGGATTGATTGCTAAAACATATGAATGAAAAGTTCAGAATTTCAGACTGAAGCATAGTTGTGGTCTTTATGTTAATTTACAGAAGTAAATAGTTACATATTTATAATGTTTATATATTTCTTCAGACAATATTTAATTCTGAGCATTTACTATCAAGTACAGTAGCAGATACAGTCATATCTCAAGATGAAATAATTTAGTTGCAACTTTGCCAGTATTAATGTCAGCCTTTAATGTCAAGGATAAAACTAATGGAAGTAAAGACCAAATTGGAACTGGAATTTTGACTGAAAATAATAATGACATTTTCAAAGAAGTGGCTCTTACTTCAAATGGTCTGAGTGTGTTGATTTAATGAGCTCTTATTCAACCTAGCTCTTAACATGAACACGTTGTTGAAGTCAAGTATTATTAGTTTAATGAGAGTAGACCTCATATTAAAAAGAGTTTTATCAAAAATATATTTCTGTCATGTTGTCTGCTATGAAAATTTGATTTATGTATATTGTGTATTGCAGATAGATGATATCTGGCAATTGACGACCCCTATCACGTGACTGTCATCGCAGTGTTGTCACAGTATGTGACCATGCCCTATGTAGACAAGTCCGGCAGAACATGTGGTTTTCTCAATATTGAGGAGATCGAAAATAGCGGCAGTTTTATACGGAGATACTTCCTACTCGATCAAAACAATGAACGTTTGCTGTACTACATGGACAACCCCAATGTAAGTAGATGATATCAATAAGAGAAGTAGTAACGTCAGTTGCACTGCTTAGTTTTATAAATTGCTGGGATCAAATCCCAGTTTGCATCAATATCTTTCTAGGTCTGTCATCACCATACCCGTGCTCGTGGGTTTCACCAAAGTGGTAAACATCCCGAGACCTGTGTCACTGGAGATACTGTTCAAAGCAGCATTTAATACAACTCACTCACTCAGTAATAAATTACAAGTCTGGATAAGTTTTCAGTCTAGACAAATCTTGATATAGGAATTCAAAGGACTTGCATCACAATATGTGAATGGAATCAAAATCAATGGATCCAGAATACAAATTGAGACAATCAGCGATGATTTTATATAGCCAAAGTCAATAACACTGTCAAGTATCATCAGCTGATCATTCCTCTTGGAATAATTGTGGCATGGTTTCTGTGATCTATTAACATTGGGTCATTATCTATATGCCACTCATGATATAACTTTATGGCCTTATTGTTTTGTAAATGAATCTTTAAAAACAACTCATCAGACCTTCTCACATGCATGTTTGAAGAGTTGTCCATCCAAGACAAGAAGAGCCTGTCTCGGATGGTCAGGTAGGGGGTATTTTATACTAAACATGTTTTTAGTTACGAGTTACGTGTACTGTCCCTTCTGACCAATCAGATTCTGCCTCTCACATCACTTGCATTTGCTTCAAACAAGATGGCGGCATCCAGTCAAGACGATCAGATCGATAATCAAGATCTTTATTGTCTTAACTCGCGAAGTGCATCAAATCACTTGATCACCTTGATTAAGAACATGAAAAGATTTGGAAAGTATCTGTTGACGGCAAACATGTTCTGCAAATCCTGCAATCGACTGAAATCTGCATGTCAGTCGCCATGATGTTTATGAACTGAATGTCAAGTTTGTTCCGCGATATTGAGGGAACTATGCATTGACTCGTTTGTCCAGCCAAAATAGAACTCCATAATCAGAGCTCCAGATAAGCTTTTGGTGTTGTGGGTATTTTACCCATGCATTTTAAAATCATTGGGTATCAGTAACTCTTTCTGGGTATTCAAGTTTCTGTTACCCACTAGTTTTTACACATGTGGGTATTTAAGTTAAATATTTAAAAACATTTTTCATCTAGTCCCTGCAAACTGGTGTCGTGTGGGTTCGAGAGCTTTATAGAACTCAAAAATACCACGATACTTCCACACGAAAGTGTGATGGCAAATGATCATGATGTAACGGAATGCCAGTTTATAATATAAAAATAAGTTGCTGATTTGCTTATTGAATACGCAGGGTTACTTCACAATATTTTGATGATACGCACAAGTTTTATTTTTGTAGTGTATCTGTAATGTTCGTTGGGTATTTGATACGCCTGGATTTTATTTTACTGCGTATTTCGGCATTTCTGATGCATATTTTACGCAGATACGCAGCTTTTCTGGCGCTCTGCCATAATTCCAGCCTCGGGAAAGATGTCTAATACCCACATTGTTTATTTGCTGACACTAGCAATCAATCTAGCAAATTACCGAAACTACACATAGACAATGTTTCAATTTCAAACATGACATCACTCCTTAAAACGTCTAGACCTAGACTGGACACTGGTGCCTGAGCATTGACTATAACATCCCTTTGAAGGTCAAAATGACGCTTGATATTAAAGGTCAGCTTTTATGAAGATGATTCTGAAATGATCTTGGTGACTATTCTATGGGCTAAATCAACCACATTGGACATGGATGAGTTGGTTTTTTTCCACATTGTTTCTCATTCAGGAAATTCCGACATCTTGTCCAGAGCCTCATGATTGATTGAAAGATTCTTTTACTGAAAAAACATCAGGCCCATAGAACTGAAACTCTATACGCGAGAAGCACAGTCACCATATGTGATTCTTATTTCCTCATTGGCATCTGGACTGAAAACAAGAATGACCACAGTGACGTCTCTCTTGGCAATAAATAAAAACATGATGTTGTAATACATATACCATACAGTTAGTGTAGAGGTGTTTCAGTTCAGAAATCAGTATGATTATTATTGAAACTTCCGGTAAATTAGAAGACTAGTTGTTTTTTATATATAATTACTAAATGTTTGTGGTGTGGTAGATTATTAGCATTGTTTGAAACATTATATGGGTGAAAAAGTAAACAACTTTGCTAAGCTTAAAGGATAATGTGATTGATAATAAACAATTGCCTGGAACTGAATAGTATTTAACAATGTTTGAGATACAAGCTCATTAGGTAGATTTTCAAAACCCTAACCCAATTATGTAGCAGAATATATTGAAAGAGGAAAATACCACCTATTAACTGTGAAGAAAATCTTGCAGGAAGTTGTTTCAAATGAATGGTATTATCGGTCTTTTATTCACTAGAAATCGAGGACAAATTCTCTCTTGGAAATGCTTTCAATTCTCAGATCTATTTAGTGGACAATATACATAGAATTTTCTGAACCACCTGTAGCAAATATTTGTGGTAGTGTGAAGATAATTTCTTTTTCAATTTTGCTAGTCCTCATAATTGTAATTGCGTTAAATAATATGTATTTATGTGACAGGTAAATATTAAGTGAATGAGTTAGTATGGTTTTATATCGCTTTTAGCAATATTCCAGCAAAATCACGGTGGGGGACACCAGAAATGTGCTTCACACATTGTATCCATGTCGGGAATCAAACCCGGGTCTTCAGCGTGACGAGCGATCGCTTTAACCACTAGGCTACCCGACCGCCCTGGTAAATATCAAGAAATGATTTACTTGGTAAACATGATAAGATTATCCACAATTTCCCAACTGCTCAGAATATCCATATCTTTATATTTATTATTTTTTCTTTTTATCAATGTATTTATTAAGCATTTTAATGACATGTTTTCTTTGTCTTGTTTTAAAAACATATTTGATTTCCAGTGCAGAGATGTTTAAGAAAGCTTTCGGAGGAATATTAAATAAACATTTAAAATTAATCATGGACAAGTGGTTGAGTTAATGATTGTTAGGTTTTTAGAATAAATTGAATAAGTCATATGATTACGTGTCATCAAGCTTGACAACCCAATCCATCTTATCGCCTATTGCCACAATCATAACTTGCTGGGGACCAATTGTATCTCAGAATCACCACAGGGTTCACAATTAACATTTGTAGTCTATGTATATGATATTAGCAATGATTGGTTGGTTTGTTGTTTAACGCCGCACTCAGCAATATTCCAGCTATATGAAGGCGGTCTGTAAATAATCGAGTCTGGACCAGCCAATCCAGTGATTAATGTCATGAGCATCGATCCACGCAATTGGGATCGATGACATGCATCAACCAAGTCAGCGAGCCTGACCACCCGATCCCGTTAGTCGCCTTTTACGACAAGCATAGTCACCTTTTACGGTAAGCATGGGTTGCTGAAGACCTATTCTACCCTGGAATCTTCATGGGTCATATTAGCAATGGGCCAGTTGTATCCTTGGATTCTCACAGGGTTCCAAAATAATGCTTCAAGTCAATGGATATGATATTAACAAAAAAAAAATAAAGTCACTTATTTGTTGATATGTCTTTACTGTGTTATACCATTCTCAGTGAAATAGAGCATTAGTGGATCCGGCAACAATTGAAAACATAAAGTTTGACTTAAGGGCTGAGCAACTTTGTAAAGCACTAGGGCTGGGACGGGTAACTTGGTTACCCAGGTCGGGTGGGTGGGTACTGAGTAGGACCCGGGTACCCACAGGACTATCCGGACCCGTGGTTAGTCACATGATATATATATTGTTTAAAGACAAAAATTATCTAGAACTCTATGGTTACACTACAAGTCACTAATGTTCGCATTTCTTTCTGACCATGCACCCATTCCTTCTGATTTTTCATATGGTTGAAAAAAGATATAGCTTAATTCAACTTCAGTGTATGAGTAACCAGATTGTTTAATACATGTATCTTAATACGTTTTGCCAGGGCTAAGCTAAAAATGTTCCCAATCAGACATTTTAAAACATCTCCTGAGACCTACAGTGGGTACCCGGGTAGGGTCAGGTAATAGGTGGGTGGGTACCCGGGTAGTAAATCTGTACTCGTCCCAGCCCTACAAAGCATGTTTTCCATAAGGCTTATTCAGTTCTCATTTGTTGGGGGCACGGATGGCCCGGTCGTCTATGGTACCACAATTAAATTACCGTATTCGACGTAATAAGCGCTCCGCTCTAATAAGCGCCCACGGCGACATTTGCTAACATATTGGCTAGTGAACAATCCCAATTAGCACCCCTTCCGATTGATCAATGTACACAAGACTTATTTATTCGCGTATAATACGCACTTGTGTGCTATATGCACCCTTAATTATTGGCATTTAATTTTGAAAAATATATCTGTCGTACATAAACATTTCAGGCTGACAGCATAAACAACGAAATTTATCTTTCAACTCTGTTTTTTTTCACCAAAATAATATTCTAATAAGAGCCCCCTATTTCTTATTTTGAGAGCGCCCTGGGCGCTTATTACGTCGAATACGGTAAATCAAAGTTGTATAACTTGTAAATGTTCAAGACCTGCATCACTTCGGGCTTCCCTCCCACATCAAGCTGACATGCTTTGATAGACATGTTACTAGAATACTGTTCAAAGCAGCATTCAACATGTTCATGTATCTGTTATAAGTGTGGCTATATAAGCAAACAGTCTGTGTCTTTCACTACTTGGTCAAAGCCCGAGCCTAGTAAAAGTTTGTTTGGTCTTGTAAGCTCAGGTAATGAAAGTTCATACAATCTTGATCGTACAATCAAAGTAACTCGGGTACTCGGGTCAGGTGGGTACTGAGTAGGACCCGTGGTTAGTCACGTGATATAGTATTTAATGACATAAATTCACTATGACGCCACGGCTACACTACAGGTCACTAATGTTCACATTTCTTTCTGACTGTGCACATATTCCTTCTGACTTTTATATGTTTTATTCAAGATTAAAGCTT